TTTTACACCTAATTGTTCATGCAAGATTATTTGTATTTGACTCATGCCAATGTCTAAAGTTGCCTGAATTTCGCGGTATGTCACATGTCGATCTTCCTCAATCAGCTTACGCACAGCATCAACGTTTTCTTGGGTGACTGCAGTTTTTGGACGACCTTGACGGGGATCATCACTGAGCTTGACACGTCCACGTTGAAACTCAGCAAACCAGCGATAAATTGTGGTTTTGGATGGGGCTTCATCACCAAATGCAGAAATCATCCGGTCAACACACTTTTTGTGTTAAACCACTTCGAAAGTCATAATAAATCATCGCTCTTGAATTTTCTCGAGTCAATTCCATTTTTTCAACGACTAAACAAGTTTGACAAAACCTCGTGACAAGACCGAGAATCTTTTTTTAAATAAATAAATGGTATTCGATTTTTAAAACCAAGGAGTTTTCAATTAAAAAGATTTTAATATGACAGGAACAGTGGAAATATTCCATTTCCGATACTTTTAGTGCAGCCTAGTATGTAACTGTTTACCTTCACCGGAGGGTGACGACCTCAGGCATCACCAAAGCTGAGACTCTAAACTGTAAGCGAGGGTTAGGATTCGATGAGAAAATAAATGAAGTGTGACCGATCACGTCCGAAATTCTAACATTGCCCACTCCACGAATAGAATAAGAAGACTTGTAAATAGGATTGCCCAACCGTACTGCAAGGTTGCTCGACATAATACTGCCCTGTGCGCCGGAATCCAACAGAGCTCGAGCAAACACAGTGTTGCCATCCGAATCCAACATCCGAACAGAAGCTGTAGGAAGTAAAACAGCTGCTGGGGCAACACTGCAGTGAGCAGCAATTTCCTAGCGGGGGCCCGGGTCCCCGCTATCCCGGTCGGCGCGCGACGAAAGGTCGTAGCGTGCCAGCGGATCCCACGCTCCCACATAAGGCCCTCGTTTCCTGTCTCGCCTCATATACTTCCGCGTACGATGGCCAAACGGGCCAAACACTGGAGGGAGTCGCTCCAGCGTCGGCCGCTCCCTCAGCAGAGGGGAAAACCGTACTTCTGAGGGAGGGGGAGACGAGTGAGCAGGGCTACTCGATCCAGCAGGCGAACACGGCCCCGCACGGGGGGACAACGTGGCCACCCCGGCGTAGCTAGTGGGCATCCGCTGGCACCCGCCCGCAGTACCAAACCCGGCGCCTCCCTGTGAAGCCTCTTTCCGAGGGTCCACGCCGCCGAATTGGCGAGGGCTACGACTGGTACGCTCACCGGTCGGCGAGGCTGGATGACTGCGTCCGGCTGACCTCGGAGTGGCGGCAGACTCCAGACACAGGAGGGCATGGTGCCGACCGTCGCAATTAGGGCACAATTGTGGCTGTGGACAGACGCTCGCCGTGTGCGGCCCAAAACAAAAAAAGCACCATCGCCGCTGGGCATCGATGTTGCGTCTACCCCTGATGCGCGTCGACCGGAACTTAGGACAGGCGGCTACGTCGTGCCCGCTCTCATGACAGAAGGCACACCGTGGCCTTCCCATCGCTGCCATGAGCGCAGTCAGTCGTTGAGACGGCCCCCTCTTATCCCCTCCCCCTCCCCTCTGAGCAACCGAAACGGCGTAGCCGGAAGTCGGCACACGCGACCCAGAGGAGGAGGGCGGTGGCATAATCTCGTGTCGGCGACTTTCCGCTTCTAAAAATGCCAGCAGACTGGCCAGGGTAGGCAGTTCGTCCCTACCTGCGTTGTCCTGCTGCTCGAATCGAGTGAGCACCTCAACCGGCAGCCTACCTGCAACAATATAAAAGAGCAGATATGACCATTGGTCTACTGGTAGACCCAAATTGCCTTAGTGCCTTAGGCCTTAGTGGCCACCGTAACTGGATTCAGTACCTCGGTTCTGATATCGGAAGCCCGAGAAAGCTTGGGTATCGCAAACAGGCTGGCCAGCTGAGCGTTCACCAACCGTCGTTGATTTTGATATCGGTCGAACAGGATCTGGCGTGCGACCGCATAATTGTCGTTGGTGATAGGCAAGTGTGCCACCAATTCACCAGGTTCACCTCGCAGAGCACCCCGAAGCTGAGCCATCTTATAAGAGGCAGTCAAGTCGGACCGACCATGGACCAGGCTGTCAAACAAATTTATAAAGCCGACCCACTCGTTCAGATCGCCGTGGAAGATCGGCAGGTCGATGGACGTCGGTCCACGTCAAGACCGATGGCATGGATCACCTCCTTCTCCACTTCGGACCCCAAAGCAACGAGGTCAGACAACCGATCGTACACTACCTCCAACCGTTCGTGCACCTGAGACGCCCTATCAAGCAGTGCCGCATCCCTATCCGTTCTGTCAACCAAAGCATGAGCTGATGCGAACCATCGGAGCTCACTAGTCACCTTCCCGCGATTGTAGGACACCGACATGTTACTTGCAGTTTACAACCAGAACAAAAAAAAAATAAAAAAAAAAAATAAAAAAAAATCAAAATAAAAATTCAAAAAAATCAAAAGGAATTATTTAAAGGAGTGTACGAGTGAGGCCACCAAAATATTCCGACTCCTAAGTATTTAGGTAACCTAGACCTCACCACTGTACCAAAGGACACCCCAACAAATAAGAAAAAACTTAAAATTAAAAGTTATAAGATAGAAAATTGCTGATACCAGGTTTTGAGTTGCAAACTAAACTCAAGCACACCTGGCCTCTAGACTATAACTAGAAGCTAGTCACCAAGCAGGACCCAATCAACAATTTACTATCACAAAGTATTCACACCGTTCAACAGGTAATTCAAATAACAAAATTAAAATGAAAAATTAATTATATGATAGCAAATTGCTAATAAAAATTTATGAATTAATTTTCAAACACTGATGGCCTCAGGACTATACCAAAGCCAGTCACCAAGCAGAGCCCACAGTCAGCAATCCACTACCACAAATTCAAACAAGTAATTTAAATTTAGAACAAATTAAAACAAATAACAAAAAATATATATAATAGCATAATTGCTGGTATAAGTTGTGAAATGACACTCATACACCGTTGGCCTCTGGACTATAACTAAGCTAGTCTCCAACAGGGACCAACCAGCAATCTACTACTACAAGTTCAACAAGTACCCCAGTTATATTCAATTACAAGTGTGTTGCAGCTCAATTATACTAAAATAAAGGTAGTAAGTGAGCTACAATCATACACAAATTAATAATGAATTATAAAACCAACTGTAATAACATCCAGATTGTTACACACAACTATGCTTAAATAGATGTGGTAATCTACTGTTATGATTGGCAGAATTCACATAAATCTGTAGTAATAGTATGAAAATAGCTGATCACTGTAGCAGCTGTGTGCTAGGTCATAAACTCAGCCAGCACAGCTGTCCAACTCAACGTACAACCAGTCAGCTATGCGCAGTGGAAGCAAATAACTCAGTCTTACTAATACTAACTATTACTATTCACTAATTTTATTAACCAGGTGGATAGAAACACACTAAACGACCTGACCTAGGTCAGCAGAATGATAGTTTAAACAGAACCGAACCCTATGCCTACACTATTTCTGCTGACTAGTAACAAAATTAAGTAAGGTTAGATGTAACAAATTTTACAATTCGTGGTAATTACTGTAGATTTTACAAATCTAACCACGCTCTGCTACCAGAAATTGTTCTATCCGAATCCAGCGCCCTCGTGGCAGCCTAGGGAAACCAGCACGAGGTGCGCGTCGAACATGTGCCGCGATTCGCGGCGCCGTATGTACTATTTTAACAAAATATCATGCAATCACTCACCGGAACCGATGACTTCGTCTTCTCACGCCGTATCACTTAGGGAGAAGGGTATAGGGCAGGAATGGATAAGGATTAGCGATGATACAATACTTTAGCGTAGACCGTCAATATATTATGCAGGTACCGTCCTGTTCGAGAAGCAAGACAAAGTGACAGATGTCAAATCGCGAAGGCACCGTCAAATCGTGACCCGTGTTGCCGTGGTAAAAATTCAAAAACTAACGGATTGGTTTCGAACAATTTCCTTAGTCGCTGCTTCCAGTGGACGTAAAATGTTAAGAAGCGATGTTAATATTGTCAACTCAATACCAGTTAACATTGGCGGTGCTGCTTTATGACAAATCAGCATTTCGTTAATCAAGAAACCGTATTTTTTCATATAGTACGTGCTGTTCCAACGTGTATGGACATCCTGAATCAATTTTGTGTCAGTCTTAACTGATTTATGCAACTCATCGCCTGCCACAAAACTTTGTTTAAAAAAAGTAACAATATTTTTTGCTTTCGTTATTATTAGCTGTAATTCAGGAATTCCCAAAATATGTTAGCAACTAAATTAAGTGTATGCGCAAAGCATGGGATATGCTTTTTTTTTTCCCAAATACAATTTTGACAGCCTTCTCCATATTTGCAGCATTATCTGTTACTACTGCTCTGACTTGATCCGCATTAAATCCCCATACTTCACATGTTTTAGTGAGCATTTGTGCAATATATGCCAACGAATGTCTTTCATCTAAGTGGTACACACCCAAAGCTACGGAATGAAATTCAATTCCGATGCCGAAATGAGCAGTTATACCTAAGTAACTTCTCATTTGTAGATCTGACCAAATGTCACTTGTTAAGGTAACATTTTCTCATAAGAGGTTCTCATCTGAACATTATTACATTATTATTTTTTTTAGTTTTGTCACCAGTAGAAGTATATGTGTATATTTCTCCAATACTACTTTCCATTGACCTCTGGCGTTTAAAAGCCAATTCCCTATTATAATCAATTTAATGATCAGTTTGAGAATTGTTAGTACTTATCTCGCTGGCATCCATTGGCGGCGACGTTGAAGTTGAAGGCAACAGTTGATGTTCGTTAACGGTAGATTTTGACATCGTAATATTATCTTGTTTTTTATTTATTTATTTATTTATTTATGTACACACAAAAAAGAAGACATAGTACAGAGTAATAAGAAAATTATGTACAAAGGCAAGTTTGGTTTTCAAAAACCAGGGATAAAGTTTGGCAAATCAAAATCTTTTGTAGCAGCAGCAGTATTTTTAATTTGAAAATCTTCCAGATAGACAGCTTTATGATTTTTTTTTATATTTTATTGCATTGGAGGTGTTGCCAGCCGTTTTAACATTTTTTTGAAATAGCTTGCATCAGACAGTTTTCTCTTAAATCACTTATTAGCTAGCTATTCTAATCGACTTTTCTTCGATGGTCCAGGCTGTGGCTGAGAATCTAAATCAACGTCAAATGTGAAAGTTTGAGGAATGACAGGAGTTAAAATTGGAGTCATAGTTGGAAGTTCATCTTAAAATTCATTTTCTTCCATTAACTTTGATATTTCCATAACGCTGCTTGCTACATGTTTCGCCAGAACAATGGAGGCATACTGTAGAGCATTTGCATCCAAATGTTTGCATGCTTTTTCCAGTCTCAATCTTCAGGATTTTGATATCTTCCGAGCCACGACTGGACCTATACTCGGAGATTGAAAACGAGCAGCATCTTGTGTTGTAAGAAGCGATGATAAATGAAATGAATTTTTAGTCACTGTCTTGGCAAATCGTTTTTATCGCAAGCCGTCTAGTGAGTCGTCTATTACCGCCGTATGAAGTTACGAAAAAACGCTCGCCACCAAGAGTGAGCAAAGATGGATCGACTTTCTCACTCAGGAATAGCGCGGTACCACGAGCTAATTCAGGATGTTTCCTCATAATTTTTATAAATTTTAATTTCCCCATATTATAGGCTGCTGATGTTGTATCACATCCTGAAAAAGCATGATGAAGCAGTAAATTCTGTGTTATGAGATCTCCATACATAAAAGTTGAAGGGCTATATAACTGAGCAGATGTGCGCCCTTTTGGAGGTTTAGAAAAATATATGTTAGGCTGTCTTGTACCTAATGCCGTGAGCAATACAAGAATGTCAATGTCCTATGCCACAATAATAATAGAACCATGAGATCGGGATGCAAAAAACGAAGCAGAGACGATAAGTGAATCTGCATCTAATTCAGCTTGGTAAACAGAAAAACATTCATTACCAAGAAAATTTTCTTGAGATATTGTTAGTACGGTACTCTTATCAAACTTAATTTCAGTACATTGATGTTATTTCGTGCCACGCATTGACGAACCCGGTCAACTTTGGAGCGCTGTAACAGCGTTTTAAATGAATGAAATTAAAAAAAAATATAGGGAAAATTTTTCCTCAAAAGATCATCTACATCTACGTAGCTACAATATTAAGCCTTTCAACATAAATGAATAAAGATGACCTATATATAAATATACTGCCTTGCGATCCTTCCACCACTTGAGAGAATTTGTATGCCTCTTGATTAAAGGTTCGAGCATATATTTGTCGAATTCGACTATACCAGCTGCTACTGGATTTTCAGGTACCAGTTTTGTAATCTCAGTATCAAATTCATCCCAGATGGATTTTACAATAAATGACAGAGTCATTTACCTCTCTTCAACAGGCACTACCACGCTTGCATTATTATCAATAGCACCGATTTTTTATTTTAGTTGAGCTGCAGCCCTTTAAAAGTTCCTAACACTTTTTTTTTTTTTTTGCTGAACCCTTTTTGTTTTTAAATCTAGGGTCCAAGATAGTTGCTTCACTGAAGAGTATATTGCTCTCTGTATCGTGAAACCGTTGTGTTATTTGTAAGACTAATGTTTGAATCAATTCTTGAATAGGTCAAGAGTTTCCCCAGTGCACTTCTCGATCTGTTTATTTATTAACTTACACTATACGATGACATTCGAAACCGTTACCTATTCTTCGCCACTTCTCTCTTTCGTAACCTCATAGAAGATATTTAATATAGGAATCGATTTTTCTATAATACTCGTAGTCCAGTCGTCTTGGGAAAGCGACAGGTCATTCCGTATAGGGGCCAGTATAGCAATTACAGCTTTTTTTTTCCTATCCTTTACACTCCAAACTGTACCGTTCATTGTTTCTGAACGTTATATCTGATATTATTTCAATACTTTTATTAACATTCCTTTCTTGCTGTCTGGGTACAGTTTTTGCAAGTAGTGCCACTATATTATCGTTTTCGGCTTCATTGTCATTAATTCTTATATTATATATAGGTGTAGCTACATTGAATTCATAGAATCCAAGGGGTTTGCCATGTATGCACTGCTCATCAATATCACATAAGAAACAACTTACATTTCTTAGAGTAAGTCTTTCAAATAATATATCCCAAAGGACCTGGTGGAAGGAAAGGGTGCCTTTAAATGGCTTAAGATTTTTTGGACGAAGATTTTCTTTTTGTTTCATTTCAAATGAAATAAAAGAAACAGAATACGATTCACCGGGATCGCTTCTCAGCAACCGGGATTCCTGTATGCGAGCGAGGCTGGGAATGCGGGTGTGTCCTGTTACTACTGTAGTCAAGCAGCCTGCCTTTGGATCGACTTACTAAAGCTTCCCGCTCCAGGCAGCGTCCATATAGGAAAGTGCTATGGGATTCCGAAGGCGCTCCGCACCCTAACTGAAGTAAATTTGTACCAGTTATTAGGACCTAAGTATCAAGACATTGTTTGTTTTTTTTTTAAAAATAATTAAATTTAATGGACACAGTGTGGAGAATAATTCAAATACATTTACCCTGGTTTAACACAAGTCACCAAGGATTAGTAAAACTGACTTTGGTAAATCAACGAACATAATCACCTCGCAGCTCGCGAGATGTTACATGAAAGAGGGATAGACGAAGTAAACTTGTCGTTTTATAATATGTTTCTCGAAGATTCTGCAGGCCAGAGATGTGGAAAGTTTGTCGTCGAATAATTGAGACAAAATCGCACAGTCACGGCATGCAATGTCGAGTAACCGAAACTATTTGTGTATATTAAAAAAAGATATTGAATTCTCCACACTGCGCCACGTACAATCGTTAGATGGCGTTGCCAGTAATTTAGAAAAAGGTTTAAATTAATGGAAATGAAATATTTTGGCGTTACAACTAGTCCACGTCAAACCCAAAAGCAATCAGGTCAGACAACCGATCGTACACCACCTCCAACCGTTCATGCACCTGAGACGCCCTATCAAGCAATGCCGCATCCCTATCCGTTCTGTCAACCAAAGCATGAGCTGATTCGAACCATCGGAGCTCACTAGTCACCTTCTTGCGAATGTAGGACACAGACATGTTACTTGCGGTTTACAAACCCGAACAAACCAAAAATAAAAATAAATTATTTAAAGGAGTGCACGTTTACTGGTAGGACCTCTTGTGAGTCCGCACGGGTGGGTACCACCGCCCCGCCTGTTTCTGCCGTGAAGCAGTGATGCGTTTCGGTTTGAAGGGTGGGGCAGCCGTTATGACTATACTGAGACCTTAGAACGATATCTCAAGGTATGTGGCGCATTTACGTTGTAGATGTCTATGGGCTCCAGTAACCACTTAACACCAGGTGGGCTGTGAGCTCGTCCATACATATAAGCAATTAAAAAAAAAGAAGAGTGAGGCCACCAAAATATTCCACAACAAACAATGGAATACCCTATCCGGAATTGTGTGTTCTTTTAAGAATTGGATTATTTGGTCTTTAGTGTTATGTATTGGGATCTAAACACCTTTGATAATTGTTTTCCCTTTCGATCTTTATTCTACTCTGTATGTGTCACCGAGTGTCTTTCTGATGTGAAATTGTTTTAATTGTCTACCGATTGCATCATCTATCTGTGGTATTTGGTCTGATGTTGATTCTAATTGGTTACTGTCTGTAACTTTGTCTGTGTTATCTGGGACTTTGGGTGTAGGTGTTATTTGTGATTGAATTGCGTTATCCGGGGTTGTAGGTAAACCTAATAATGTGCGAATGTCAATGTCTGCTATGTCTATATTATCATTAGATGTGCTTGGTTGAGGGTTGTTGTTAAGTTTATTATGGTGTAAGATTTGAACTCTGGAAAGTGCATCGGCGTTTGTGTTTGCTTTTCCTTTTTTATATTGAACATTGTAATTATATTCTGCTAATCTTAGGCGTCAAAGTATGAGTTTAGAGTTCGGGTCTTTATTTGACATAATCCTTGTAAGTGGACGATGGTCTGTATATATGGTAAACTGTTTACCATATAAATAAGAGCGAAAATATTTAATGGCCCAGCGATACTCAATAATTCTTTTTCTATGGTTGAGTATCTTTGTTCGGTGTCTGATAGTGTACGTGAAGCGTACGCTACTGGCTTATCTGACCCTATTTCTCTTTGCGATAGTACTGCGCCTATAGCAACGTCCGAAGCATCTGTAGTTAATATAAAAGGTTTTTCGAAATCTGTAGCCCTAGCACGAATAACTTGCGAAAATGTATTCGTAACGTTATCGAATGATATTTGTATGAGATTTGTACAGCGCCCCTATCGTACGTAAATGATACTTGAAACTTATAAACAATCAAACGTTATAATTGCGAGCACGAACACAGTTTTGACGTACGGTAATGTTAATATCGAAGGCTGGGTATCGAGTATTGTCGAAACTTTATTCACTTAAAATTTGTTGGTGAGAAAGGTTTCGTAACGTGTTTAAATATAATTTTATGCGTGTTTTTATTTTTTAAGTTATTTTTTATAAATAATAGTGTTTTCTTATCACTTTAGTTAGTTCTTATATACAATTAATTTTAATAAATTGCTCAAAATGCAAAGACCACCGTTGTACGAGCGTAGTCCTTTAAATTATTTTGTTGCTGCAAGTTTACTTGAAAATAAAGAATATTCATCAAGAGACGCTCTTCCTTCGTAGTGAAAACGTAGAGATTGAAAACCCAAATATGGCTATAACAATCTCTGAACATATTTTCCAAGAGAATACTACAGGAGATGGGTTAATTAGGGGTAGAGCTATAAGAAGTATTTTAGTGGATAAAATTAATAGACTTCATACATAATTTTACTATTGTTTATTAATTTTGTAAAAAATATAGTAATTGGTAAAATTAAATAAAATAAAATAATTAAGTAATTGGTAAAATAAAAGTAATTGGTAAAAAAATATGGTAATTAAGCTTTACTTAAGACTTTCTCTCCATAAACCTCAGAAAAGCTTCCATTGCCTCTTTCATAAATTCCAGCCATTGACCCTACATCCGTAGCTCTTCATCTCTCTGTCTTACTCTTTCTCGTACCTCAGATTATCTAACTCTCAACCGATCTCTTTCTAATTTCTCATATACCCTATCACGCTCTGAAGCATACTCCTTTGCCTTTCTGTTGTATATCTAAAAACATGTTTGTCAAATTGCTTTTTCTTTTTTTCTGTGGCGGAGGGTTCCACTCCTCTTCGTCGTTAATGACTGGAGGGGGAGCCACAGTTGATGCCGGTGGAGCCACTGTTGGTTGGCTGCTTGTGCTAGGAGTATTCCAATCTATAAATTATTCCAATATGTAATAAGCCAGTTTATACAATTAGTTTCATTTAGGTTATCATAGATATCATAGCTGTGATATCCTTCTTATTTTATGTATAAAGATACAGTATTAAGAAACAATGAACTTCAATAAATCTAAAATTAAAAGTGCTACGCACCTATTTCCGGTCCCTTTAAAATAATTTCAGTATTTGGCCTCTCAGTTGAAATTTCATCCTGAAATAAAATAAAAAAAATTACTTACTACATTCAATATTTATTGCACAATTGAAATGTAAAGTATAGCTAACTTGTGGAAACCCAGCTTCTTTTAGCTCCATGCCAGTAGCTGCCTGCACTCCAATTATCTGCATGACTCTTTGTTCTTGGTCAGTTAATAATAGATGGAGCGCTGGTCCGCCACCAGTGCCAGTTTTAGCACACTTTTTCTTGCAATTATTCTTATAATCACTCCACACCTTAATTAACAAACAAACATTCATTTAGAATTTCTAAACAAGAAATATTAATAACAAAGTTAATAGATTCAGTCAAGTGCTTCAGCAGAAAAAAATAGCGTCCCTTAAGTTAGCACTTGACATACCTTACGCCATTTGTCCTCACTCTTAGGATCTCCTGAAGAATCGCTATTTAATATTCCCGTTAACTCTTTCCACTTCATCTGTATAAAATTGCGACCTCGTGGACCGCCTGATGGTTTTGATAAATCTCCATTTCTGGAATATAAATTGTATGGCACATTACATAAATATTGACTTGAAATACTTGAGTTAATAAAATTTTTCTAATAAATTAGAACTTTATAAGCACTTACGCTTCCATAAATTCCACCATTGTTAAATACTGTGAGTGGCTAGTTCTCATATTTAAATAGGTAAATCTTGAAAAATAAGTACTAAATTAATAAAAACAATGAAACACCTTCGCGCTCTTCACAAGAACCAAAGCAAACATAAACCTAGCCTTGGCCGATATCAAGTGGGTTCGTTCGGAATCCGAAATATTTTGTTTTGATATCCAAGACACTATTTTATTCCTTCGATTTTAATGTCATATCATGTTCCAAAATATTTTTTTCTTCATATGTACTTCACTTTATGTGCACAGTTTAAAATAAAATGACAACTTTGTTAAGTTTCCGAACGAATCATTAATTCCATATGATAATAATTTCATTCCACAAGGACCGTCCCTACTTACGTTAGAATGACGTCACTAACGTATTCGAATCGACCTTACGATAGTTGGCAAAATGTTGTTCGTGCTGCGGAGTCACGTTAACGTATCGAGGGCTCGATACGTTAACGTTACGAATTCGTTAAATTTTCGTGCTTGGGCTACTGAATACTGAAGTATTGGAGCATTAATTAGTACTTCTTTACATTTTTCAAATGCTTGTGTGTACTCTGGTGTAAGTGTTATTTTACTACCCTTTTAAGACATTAGTGAGAAAAAACTAAATCCTTAGATATTTTTACCAACGGCGGTGCGCTGGTTCTAGTATCTAGAAGGTTCTTGCGGGCGGGGCGAGTATCGCCAAGGAGTTATCAGAAAGAGGGGCAGGTCGAGGCTAGAGTAATTTTGATATGAGTAGTAGACGTACCTGACAACTCGGCTTCTTGTAGATTGCAGTATCTAGGAAACGTGACTGGCGGATAGCACGTAATGGCGGCGTTCGGCTTGACGACTGGAGAGCTCTCCTCGAAAGTAGTTGTGTTCACTAAAACGGGTATGACATTCGCGTAACGACGAGGATGATCGTCCCTAGTAGTTCGGAAGGAAAAATAAGCATGTTGCGGGTAACCATCATACAACGCAAGATATTTGACAGATGGCTGAATCTCGCTTACGACATTTTCAAGATAAAGCGCATATATACAAGTTCCGAATAACAACATTCGGACCGTCGGTCTACCGAGCATATATGTAGCGCGTGTTTTTATAAACCGTTACTTCATGACTAATAAAGATGGGACGACAAACAACAGGTGCAAGCATTCATCGAAAACATCACGTGCAAGATAAGAGTCGTAAACAACATCGTCCCACCACGATACCATGCTATAAAAACGCTCCGTTGTTGTCTCTCGAGCTCGTATACATTATGGGTTTGATCGTTGATAGGCCCGAACGAACCGCTTGGAACTGCCATTCCTTCAGCTTGAGTAGGTCCAAGTGGTATGGCAATCTCAGGTAAATTCATGCGGATTTCTTTGCCGTCTTGGGTCATCGCCGAGTTGATATGTGAGATATAATCATATATTGGCTGAGGTATGACTTGATAGTCTGGAAGTGTCTCTCTAGCATCAGTACGTAAATTCAAAACGTTTTGGCCGGCTTGCATAGCTCTAGCCATCTCAAGGATCTCTAAATTTAAATGCGTTGTCATTGCATGAGTGAACATGCTTAATGGTAACCGGTCGTGTAAACGAGGATCAATCCCTCTCATCTACTCGTATGTTTCGTTTATTAGAGGTATAAAACCGGAGTACTCAAAATTCTGACAGTACGCATCCTGCGCCGCTAGTAATGAGGAATGTGGTCCGATGTCGTACAAAGGTTCGTCTCGATCTGGTGTAGCAGTAGTACTTGGTACAACCGTCTGCAATGGCTCACTAACTTTTGGTGGCTGTTGGCGCTGTTGCTGTTTCTGTTGCTGCTGTTGCTGCTTGAAGTTCTGAGATCTCTGTGTTGGTCTTCTATTCTGAGGTTGAATCCTAGAGGCGTCAAAAGCCTCTGGCTGAAACGCCCAATCTTGCATTAGGCGATTTTGATTGTTGTGGTCGTATGCACGCTGGGCGTCGCGCATCGCTCGGCGGTTACCGCCGGAATAATGGCCTCTGCCACGTGGTGCTCCACGATAAT